AGATTATCTTCTGTGTCTGTGTTAATTGGTTTCCCTTTTCTTTGTTGAAGAGGGTCTGTGCAATCCTTCTGCCTAGTCCGCCATCTTGCCCCGCCTCTGTCTAGGCATTTTTCCTGCGTCTCAAGGCTCTGCTGTGGGCACCTGACACATCCTTAACAGAGATGAGGTTATTTCCCTAAAAAGGTCTTATGAGGCATTTCACTCACCCAGGGGTATTTGCTATTTTAATTAGGTGCCAAAGGAATGAATTACTAATGGGGGAAATTTACACCCGAAGATAGACGTTTTGCTGTCTTGACGTTGTTGTTTTTATGTGCTGTGGAGTTAGTCGGACTGACTCATAGCGACCCCTCCTTGGGTTTCTGAGGCAGTATCACTACGGAAGTAGATTGCCCCATCTTCATTCTGAGGAGTGGCTGGTGGGTTTGAACTGCCAGCCTCTTGGTTAGCAGTCAAGTACCTTAGGCACTATGCTACCAGAGCTTCTGTCTTGACATTATATCTTCTAAAAAAAACCAAACGCACTGCCATTGAGTCTGACTCATAGCGACCCCATTAGATTGCCCAGTCTTTCTTCCACAGAGTGGCTGGTGGGTTTGAACCACCAACCTCTGGTCAGCAGTCTGATGCCTTAGGCACTGTTCTACCAGAGCTCCTTACTTTTCACTTTTCAACACCCCTCCCTCTCTGCCACCGCCTCCAGATTCACTATACCAAGGTCGGCGGCATCTTGGACTGCTGAAACCAGGGATTCCCCTTGGAGCTCTTCCAGATCAAACCCCCGGTGGAAATTACCAACAGCAACGGCAGCAGAAGCGGCAGCAGCACCAGGAAGGGCCGGTTGATTCCTAAGGAAAGAAAAAGAGTCATAGCACAGCATCACCACAGCAGCTCCTGTCTGTGACCTGCATCCGTGCAGAGAGCTTCACACACACCGTCCTACCTAATCCTCCTGAGAATAAGCCCATTCTACAGATTGCTGGAGGGCAGTGGTGGTCGCGGTAGAATGCTTGTCTTCCACACGGGCCACCCAAGTTCAATTCCCCAATCAGGGACCTCAAGCGCTGCCGCCACTGCCCGTCTGTCGGTGGAGGCTTGAGCGTTGCTGTGATGCTGACCAGGTTTCAGCAGAGCTTCCGGACCAAGACGGACTAACAAGAAGGGCCTGGTGACGACTTCCACAAGTCAGGCTGGGAAAACCTTAAGGATGACAGTGGTTGGATCCACACGCACCCTGGGGAAGCGGACTAGGCAGTAGTTCAGTCCATTGGGCAAGGGGTGGCCGGTTGTCAGGTGCTACCTCGACAGCAGCTAATATCCCCATGTGCTGCAGATACCAAGGTTCAGAAAGGCACAGAAACTGCCCAAAGACACACAGCGAGTGGGGCAGAAGTGGGATTTTAATCTAGAAAAGTGTTTCTGGAACTCACGTTCTTAATTTACGGAGTTCCTGAGACCAGGGGAAAAGTCCCTCTTCTGCCCGCACTGTGCACCTACCTGGGGCCTCCAGGAGAAAGCAGGTGGGCTTGGAGAACTCGCTGTATTTGAGTGTATTGAAGGTGTAGATGGTCCTGGCGCTGAGGCAGTGGTGGCCGGTTGTGGCTGGATGAAGGGGGATCTGGACTGGCTGGCCGTGGGGAGTGACTGGAAACAGGGTCTGTGTGGAGAGAGGCAGGTAAGCAGACCTGCTGTGGGGGTGACTGTGTGGCCAGGCCAGGGTGAGGTCAGTAGGCATGCTACAGCTGGGGTACCCAACCTTCTCTTCCTTTTCTGTATGAGCGAATTCAAGCAGGAGGGAGCACTTCCCAGTGCTGCTTGGTTTTGCAGCTGGATCCTGAGGTAGTCACCGCCTAGGTTTAAAATAAGCTCGGCTACTCACAGTCATTCCCACTGCACCCCACCAGACCAGACCCCCTGGTCCTCTGCTCCTTCCTCTCGCTCCCTCACTTTTAGGGGCAGATTCCTCAGGCTTCTATCTCAGAGGCTCCAACCCACTGGGAGTCATTCAGGTAGAGGACATGCCAGGGCTGCCCTGTCCAATACAGGAGCCACTGCCCACATGTGGCTACTGAGCACTTGAAATCCCAAACGGAGATGTGCTGTGAGTATAGAATTCACACGGGATTTCAAAGACTAAGTGAAAAAAAGAATGCAAACTATCTCTATAATATTTATATTAATCCCATGTTGAAATGATAACATTTTAGATTGGATGGAGTAAATAAGATCTATTATTAAAATAAACCACCCGTTTCTCTTTGGGAGCTCTGGTGGCGTAGTGCCTAAGACATTTGACTGCTAACCAGAAGGCTGGTGGTTCAAACCCACCAGCCACTCCTTGGAAGGAAGATTGGGCAATCTACTTCCGTAGAGATACCACCTCAGAAACCCAAGGAGGGGTCGCTATTTTTACTTTAGTTAAGTGGCTCCTAGCACATTTAAAATCCCGTATATGGTTTGCGTTCTATTTGTTTGGATGGTGCTAGTCTAGAACATCTGGGAGGTACTAGAAAGGCAGGGGCCACACCGGATGCATATCTATATCCCCCCAGACCACACAGGAGTGTGGAATGCTGGCTCAGTGGCAGGAAGAATGAACCAGAACAGGGGCCAGCGAACAAGAGCCCGTGGGCCAAATCCGATCTGACATCTGTTTTTATAAACAATCTTACTGAAATAAATAAAATAAAATTTACATATTGCCTTTGGAGTCATTAGGTGGCACAAAAAGTCAAGAACTCAACTACTAAACTAAAGGTTGATGGTTCAAACCCACCCAGAGACCCCTTGGAAGAAAGGCCCAACTATTTGCTTCCAAAATATCACAGCTTCAAAAATCCTATGGAACAATTCTACTCTGCACAGATGGGGTCACACAGAGTTTAACACTTTCTTTGTGCTACAATGTCAGAATTGAGTAGTTAGAACAGAAACCAGATGGCCTGCAAACCAAAAAAAAAAAAAAAACCCCAAATCCATTGCCACTGAGTCAATTCTGACTTATATCAACCCAACAGGAGAAAGCAGAACTGTCCCACAGGATTTTCAAGGCTGTAAATCTTTACAGAAGCAGACTGCCACATCTTTCTCTTACGGAGCGGCTGGTGGGTTTGAACCACCAACCTTCTGGTTAGCAGCTGAATGCTTTAAACACTGTGCTATCAGGACTCCTTATGGCCTGCAAAGCTCAAAATATTTGCTATCGGTCCCTGAAGAAGACTCTGCAGGATGGAAGAAGCAATCAGTGAATGTTTGCTGAATCAATGTTCAGTGTGTGTGTGTGTGTGTGTGTGTAGTTTGGGAAGCTGGGTTTACTGGATGCACATCCGAAGTCCTCCCTGTGATATGTAATACATGGATCCTGTTTGTCTAGCATTTTCCAAAGGCTTTATCTTCACAACAGTTGTCTATTGTTAAGGTGTAAACTTGTTTACTCATGTTTAATTTGGGGGCAAACTGAGTCTCAGAAAGATCAAAGAACTTGTCTAACAATATAGTGTAGGAAAAACTGGATATGACCTTAATGTTCAAGAGAAAGCAATTGATTTCTATGTTGACAGCCCTGCAATGGAATCTGATGTACCCCTTTACTATTATGTTGTAGAAAAATACCTCAAGATGTTTCAATATATTGTTAATTGTGTAGAGCAGGCTATAAGACAGTTTAATGATGGTCATCTTGGCAAACTATGGTCCACAGGTCATATCTGCCCCATCATGTGTTTTTGTAAATAAAGTTTTATTATAACACAGCCATGCTGATTTATTTACATGTACTGAATAACATATGGCTGCTTTTGTGATACAATGGTAGAGTTAGGATGGAGAACATCTGGCCTGCAAAGCTGCAAATACTCTCTGGCCCTTTGCAGAAAAATTTTGCTGACCCCTGCCGTAAACACACACACCCCTGCTGTAAACACACACACACAGACATGCACACATGAACACACAAGAAAACAAGCCTGGAAGTGGATATACATTAAAGCCCTATCTCCAGGTACTTCTGGTTTTCTTTTTACAGCTTATCTGTAATTTCTGATTTTTCTGTAATGAATGAGGTGACTTGGCATGTAGGGCTCCTGTAGCTTAACCTACTTCAGCCAGATTTTACTGGGGAGGTTTCAGAATTGAAAAATGAACAAAAACTGCTGTGCTGTTGCCCCTGTGGCATGCAGGAGTAAGATGTCTTATATGTGGCCTCTCTGGGGAAGGAGGACAGGGTGGGGTAGAGGCTAGTCACTGCTTGGCCCTTGGATCTCCATCAGGATGGGCCTTGGCTTCTTTTGTTTTCTGAGACATTCTCAGACATGAGCCACTGAGATGTGACTCAGCTGGGCTGTGGACAGGGGGTGACTGTTAAGAGTTGGGGATATGCTGGGGAAGGCTTCCTGAAGGTGTACAGGGAGCAGACTGGGAGAGTGAGGGGCATCAAAGTTTTGTGGGGTGAGAGGTCCAGTCTGGGGCAGGGCAGGGGTTTCTCACCTTGTTCCTGGTCCCTTGCTTCCAGAAATGCACCTCGTACTTTAGATCCGCCATGGGCACGCACTGGGGTAGCTGGTAGGTGGCAAAGATGCTCAGGATCTCCTCCACGCGAGTGAAGACAAGAGTGGGTGGGGCCGGCTCCACTGGCAGAAACAGAAACAAAACAGGACCACTCAGTACCTCCCACGGGCCACAATGTGTCTACCCCTGCCCTCGGGTAGGCCTGCTCCTCACGCAGCCCAGAGAGGGGAAAGCAGCATTACCATTTGTTAACATCTACTGTGCACCACTTAGTCATTTTATTTACACTTCACGGGGACCAAAAAAAAAAACCTTACTGCCATGGAGTGGGATCTGACTCATAGCGACCACTCCTTGGGTTTCTGAGGCAGTATTGCTACGGAAGTGGATTGCCCAACCTTCTTTCTGAGGAGTGGCCAGTGGGTTTGAACCACCAGCCTCTGGTTAGCAGTCAAATGCCTTAGGCACTGTGCCACCAGAGCTCCCATCATGGGGACAGAGGGCGATATCGCTATTACCATTTTATAGAAGGGGAAACTGAAGCTTTTGTTTATCTGAGAGTGTCTGAATTTCTTCTTCACTTTTGAAGAACATTTTGCCAGTCATAAATTCTTGGTTGACAGTTTTTTTTTTTTTTTTTTTTAAAGGAAAAACAAAACAAAACAAAAAAACCCTTAAATTTAAATATGTCTTCCTACCACCTTCTGGTCTCCATGGTTTCTGATGAGAAAATATGGCTGTTAATTCTATTGAGAATCTATTGCATGTGAAGAGTCCCTTCTGTCTTGCTCTGCTTTCAAGATCCTCTCTTTGTCTTTAGTTTTTGACAGTTTGATTATAAGGTGTCTTTGTGTGTATTTCTTTGAGTTTATCTTACTAATAGTCAGTTGACCTTCTTGGATGTGTAGATTCATGTCTTTCATCAAATTTGGGAAGTTTTTGATCATTTCTTCAAATACTCTTTCTACTTCTTTCTCTTCCTCTTCTGGGACTCCTATAATGTGTATATTGGTCCTTGTGATGATACACAACAAGTCCCCTAGTCTCTGTTCATATTTCTTCATTTTTTTTTTCCTGATCTTAACACTAGATAATTTCAGTTGTCTTATCTTTGAGTTCGTGGATTCAATTTTTCCTTTCTGCCTCATCTTTCTTTCTCTCTTTTTAAATAAACTTGATTGCCGCTCTGTATCCTTCCCTCCATGCTTCTAAGCCCTTATTCCTATCCATCCAATGACTGATTGGTTCATCTACCATTCTTCTAGCCAGACAGCTCTCCTGCCTGCCTTCCCATCCTTCTTTCCTTAGTCCTCCCCATTCATCCATCCTTCTTTTCTTCCCAATCATCCTTCTTTCCTTGTTTTCTGTCTTTTTAGCCAAAATGCCTCCCTTGCTACCCATCTTTTCACTTGTACTTTCTTCCTTCCTTTTATCTAACCACTCACTACTTGTCTCCTCTCCCAGCCTTCCCATCCATTCATTCTTCTTTTCTTTCCTATAGATCTATACATCTTTCCTTCTTGTCTTTCCTTATTGCCCTTCCTGGATGACCAGCCTTCCTTCTATACTCTCTATCCCTGAGCCACCCATGCACCTTTTCTTCCTATTCCCCACCTGTCCATTCATAAGTTTGCTTCCTAACAAGCATCTGTTCTATCATCCAACCTCTTCCCTTCCCATTCATCCATCACTCCCTCTTCCATTCCATAGTCCCTTTCTTCTTACCATCTACCCATCTCCTTCTTTTATCCATCCAGCCAGCAAGTTCCTTTCTATTCAAATAAAATAACCTTTTCTCCCTCCTCTATCATCCTTTCCTACAATTCAATCCTTTCATTCAATCCTCCTTCTCCTTTCTTCAGACGTTATTTTGACTGCAAATTGTTTGTGAAGCCTGGACAACAACTTGTAAGGTCCATGAGGGCACTGCCTGGGTATTATTCACTCTCTGTTATTATTCTTCCTCTACTCTTAAGCCTGACCCAATGTCTTCTTGTCCAAGGTCATAAAATCCAAATTCCCATCCTATTTCTACACTTACTATAACTGTGTATCTAGGCAAGTTACTTAGCTTCTGTGAGCCTCACTTTATTTATTTATTTATTAAAGGACAATAAGAATAAATCTCACAGGTTTTTTATGAAGAGTAGAAATAAAATAATCTGGGGAAAAACCCAGTGTTAATATTGGTGGTTTTTGAACATGGTAATTGTAAGTGACATTTTTCTCTATTTTTATCTTCTTTCTCCCCAAAATTTCCACAGTGTACTGAAATTACTTTTGAACCAGAACAAAAAAGAAACTTTTTCCTTAAAGTGAGAATTTGAACATTAAAAAAAAAAAAAAAGAAAAGGGAGCGGGGGAGTGGTGCCAGGGGAAATGAATATGTAATATGCCTTGTCAGGAAATGTGGTTAGTTGTCTGGCCCTATATCCCACCAAGTCAGTGTAAGCTGAATTGCTGGAGCTGACTGGCTGGAACTCCCCTAAATCCCCACCACGAAGTCAGGTTATTCAGACATGAGCCTGGGCCCATGGCAATCTGCCCCAGAAAGTTGCCCTCTGCTTTGGGGAAATGGGAGAGAAAGGGCTAAGGCAGCAGTGACACTGAGCAAAGTTCCTGGACAGAGAGCCAACTTGTCCAGTCCCTTACCCACAGAATTACCTTCAAAAAAGTAATCCAGGTACTTAGACTCCATCCAGGGGGACTTGGCACTGGGAGAAACCGCCTGCACACGTCCCTTGAACTTGTTGTACAGGTCTTGTTTCTCCAGGCACATCAGGGAACACACTAGCTCCTTGGTTCCTGCACACTTTTTCACTTTTCGCCAACGTTTGGGGGTCGGAGAGCTGGGGGAAGAGACAGGAGAGCTTAGGCCATGTACTCAGCCTCTCAGGGCTAAGGGAAGGAAACTTAGTGATCATATGATCACTTGTCCCTCCACTCGGCCTGCTGTCCATCTGTCCATCAGCCAACCATCCAGGTAGCCACTGGCTGAGACAGAGAGTCTGGTTAGGCCTTCAGGCTCTGGAGCCAGACAGACATGGATGGAACTCCTGGTTCTCCTCCTTCCTAGTTCTGGGACCTGAGACAGATCATTTTCCCTAAGCCTCAGTCTTTTTATTTCTAACTATGGGTAATACTGCCTCCCTCACAGGGCTGTTGTAGTAGCTACTATTGCCAGTAATTCTAACAATTTTGCCATATGTTTACTCATTCAGGCACTTATGGAGAACCTGCTTATACCAGGCACAGTGCTGGGTGATGTTAGAGGGGAAACACAAGTGCATGACTAGTTTCCTGAGACCACTGAAGCTCAAAGGAGGGAGGTCAGCGATGACCACATACTATGCGCTGGGCATTGTTCTAGGCAGTGCATGAAACAGATGAGGTCCTGTCCTCCGGAATTTACACCCTGGACAAGAGACAATAATCATATCAACAAGATAAATTCAGGAGCTAGTGAGCTCAAGAAGGAAGATAAAGTAGGGTATTGTGGGAGTGACTCCTTTGGAAAGAAGGCTCTGAGGAGGCTCCTTTGAAGTCAAGACCTAAACGATGATGAGAAGGGAGCCAGGTAGAGGGCTGGGGCAAGAACAGTAAAAGCCAAAGCCCTGCAATGGAATGAGCTTGACCTGTTTCCTGTTTGGAAAAAATGTAAGAAGTCCAGTATGGCCAAAGCCTGGGGGCAAGGGACAGAGAGGCTTGTTCAGACTGGTGATAGATGTGGGGGAGGGGGAGAGGAAGGTGGGACAGATCAGGCAGACCCTCCGAGGTCTTGGAAAGGAGTCTGGATTTTATTTCAAGTGTGGTGGAAAGCCACTGGAAGGTTTTGAATAGAGGGACTCAGGTGACTTAATTTGTTTTTATAAGGTCATTCTGGTTTAAAGGAAAAAAAAAAAAAAATAGCAAGGAGCTCTGGTAGCACAGGGTCTAAGGCATCTGACTGCTAATCAGAAGATTGGTGGTTCAAACCCACTAGCCACTCCGTGGAAGGAAGACTGGGCAATTTACTTCCACAAAGATTCATAACCTCAGAAACCCAAAGTGGGTCATTATAAGTCAGAATCGACTCGATGGCAGTGGGTTTTGGTTAGGAGGCTACAGCAGTGGCCCAGGACAGAAAAATGGTGGAGAGGCAGTGGACTCAGGACATATTCTGGAAGTAAAGCTGATAGGATTTGCTCACAGATTAGATGCTAAAGAAGAGGAAAAGAAGAATCAAGGACAACTCCTAGGTTTGGAAACTGAGCAGTGGGTGAAAACGTAGGAGGTTGAGGGGAGGGTGGGCAAAGGGAACAAAGTTTTGAGAGGAATCAACACCTCATTTTGTTTCCTGATGGAAAGAGATGTTGTTGTTGTTGTTGTCGTTATGTGCCGTCGAGTCGGACCCGACTCATAGCGACCCCTCCTTGGTTTCTGAGGCAGTATCACTATGGAAGTAGATTGCCCCATCTTCCTTCCGAGGAGTAACTGGTGGGTTGGAACTGCCAGCCTTCCGGTTAGCAGTCAAGTGCCTTAGCCACTATGCTACCAGAGCTCCCAATGGAAAGAGATACACTATGTCAAAATTAAAAAAAAAAAAAAAAAGAAACTGATGTAGTTATATTAATATGTGACAAAATAAAGACTTTAAAGCCCCAAATCAAACCTACTGCCATCAAGTCAATTCTGACTAATTGCAACCCCCAATGGGTTTCCAAGGCTGTAAATCTTCACAGAAGCAGACTGCCTCATCTTTCTTCCATGGAGCAGCTGGTGGGGTTGAACCAACGACCTTTTTGGTTATCAGCCAAATGCCTTAACCACTACACCACTAGAGCTCCTTTTAAAGCCCAATGTAATACTAAAATACATGTATCTGACAAACGATTTATATCTACAATAAAGAACTCTTAAAACTCTGTAAGAAGATGAACTACACAATAAAAAAAAAAACAGGCAAAAGAGCTGAATAATTGCTTCACAAGAGAAGATAGATGAATGGCCAATAGGCATGTGAGCTCAACATCATTAGTTATCAGGGAACACAAAGTCAAAATGAGTATAAAAACAGTTCAGGGCATCGGACCTCCTCTAACTTCACAAGGAGGGAGAATCACCCCTCAGTCCAAAGCTGATGCCTATGAGGTGGAGGTCAGACATGCCTCCACCTTCCAATTTCTTACCAACTCTGACACCAACTGTTCTTCCCACGGCATTCTCTCCGTCTCAGCTGAGTTCGATAATTCGTTGCAGTGGCCACACAGAACTCACACTCACAGTTACGGGGTTTATTAAGAAAGTCACAGGTTACAACTCCAGATCAGGATCACCAGCTTGCAACTCAGGATCAGAGTCAGCAAGGACAGCCTCAGCCTTTGGCCTCTGCCCTGCTTGGGGTAAGTTACAAACCTCTTTTAGTTCTTCTGATAAGTTCCTGGAAGCGCCCCACTCTGCCAACAAGCCTCTTGCCCAAAGGTGCACAGCTCTCTCACTCCCAGTGTCACCAAGCCTAGCTCCACCAACAAGTGCCTGGAGGCACCCTATTCTGAAAGCAAGCCTCCTAGCCTAAGGCACTCAGCTCTCTTACTCCAAAGGTCCACACGCCCACTATAGTTGCTTCTCTTGATGGGCCAGGAAACCTGCCGCAGCCATCTTGCATGGTCTCCTGGTTCTACTCATGCTGGATCCTGCCATGCTTCCTGCTGTTTCTTGCCATCTCTGGTGACACAGCTCTCTGTCTCTTGGGCCTGGGAGGTTCTTAGGGCAGGGATCCCAAGTCCAAAGGACATGCTCCACTCCTGCCTCTTCTTGATGGTAGTGAAGTCCCCTCTATCTGCTTCTGGGATTGGCGCCCTTTAAGACTAACAGAATGGCAAAAGTGACCAATCCCCTCACAGGATTCTGTACAACTTATTTTCATTATTACCAAGCTGTCCAATCCCCTTGATGGGCCACAAACACTTTATTTGAATGTTGTTGTTGTTAGGTGCTTGTCCAGTGGGTTCTGATTCTTAGCTGCCCCATGTACAACAGAACAAAAAACTGCCTGGTCATGTGCCATCCTCACAATCTTTGCCGTATTTGAGCGCATCATTGTAGCCACTGTGTCAATCCATCTCATTGAGGGTCTTCCCTCTTTCACTGACCCTCTACTTTACCAAGACTGGTTGCTTCTGACATGACCAAAGTATAAGACATGAAGTCTGGCCATTCTTGCTTCTGAGGAGCATTCCATCATACTTCCTCCAAGACAGAGTTGTTCATCCTTCTCACAGTCCATAGTGCATTCAATATACTTTACGAACATCATGATTCAAATGCATCAATCCTTCTGCAGTCTTTCTTCTTCACTGTCCAATTCTCACATGCATGTGAGGCTACTGAAAACACTTGGGTCAGGTGCACCTTAATCTGCAAAGTGACATTTTTGCTCTTTAACACTACCAAAACTCACTGTGAGAGTCAATTCCAACTCACAGTGACCCTACACGACAGAGTAGAACTGCTCCATAGGGTTTCCAAGGCTGTATATCTTAACAGAAGCAGAGTGCCTCATCTTTCTTCCACAGAGCAGCTGGTGGGTTCAAATCACTTATCTTTTGGTAAGCAGCCCAATGCTTTGACCATTGCACCAACAGAGCTCCTCATTTAACATTTTAAAGAGGTCTTTTACAGAGACCTCAGATAAGCAAAGCACTATTAAAGAAGAACAAAGTAGGAGGTCTCATACTCCTGGATCTCAAAACCCAATACACACCCACAGTAGTCAAAACAGCCTGGTACTGGTACAATGACCAAATACCACATAGACCAGTGGAACAGAATTGAGAACCCAGAAATAGATCCATCAACCTATACTCATTGTTGTCGAGTCGGCCCCAACTCTTAGTGACCCCTCCTTGGGTTTCCAAGGCAGTATCTCTATGGAAGTAGATTGCCCAATCTTCCTTCTGAGGAGTGGCTGGTGGGTTTGACCCACCAACCTTCTGGTTAGCAGTCAAATGCCTTAGGCCACCAGATCTTCCATTGACCTATGGTCAGCTGATTTTTGACAAAGAGCTGAAATCTATTACATGAGGAAAAAATGGTCTCTTTAACAAATGGCGCTGGCAAAACTGGATATCCATTGCAGAAAAAATGAAACAAGATCCATACCTCACAGCATACACAAAAACTAACTCCAGATGGATCAAAGACTTAAATGTGAAACGTAAAACTATAAAGGAAAAAATAAGGGCAAATTTAGGGGCCCTAATATATGACATAAATAGACTGTCAAGCACAACCCAAAATGCACAAACAGCAGAAGAGAAACTAGATGAATGGGACCTTCTGAAAATTAAATTTGTATGTGCTTCAAAGGACTTCTCCAAAAGAGTCAAAAGAGAACTTACAGATTGGGAAAAAAAAAATATTTAGCAATGACATATTCGACAAAGGACTCATCTCTAGAATTTATAGAAAACTCCAACACCTCAACAACAAAAAAACAAATAATCCAATTAAAAAATGGGCAGAAGACATAAATAGACACTTCACCAAAGAGGATATTCAACCAGCCAACAAACACAAAGAAATGTTCACGATCATTAGCCATTGGTTTCCAAGGCAGTATCATTATGGAAGTAGATTGCCCAATCTTCCTTCCAAGGAGTGGCTGGTGGGTTTGAACTGCAGCCTTCTGGTTAACAGTCAAATGCCTTAGGCACTACGCCAGAGAGATGCAAATCAAAACAATAATGAGATACCATCTTGCCCCAGCACTAATAGCAAAGTTCAACAAGACAGAAAATAAGAAACGCTGGTGAAGATGTAGATAGATTGGGACTCTCACGTTCAGTTCTCAGATGCATGTGAGGCTATG